TGACGAGTGAGTTTAGAAATTGACTGTTTGTTTTGTACAGCATTTTCAAGACTTCCCCGTATACGTTATTGTTGCCTGGTCTTTTGTTATTTTTAAGACTCTTTATAGCATTCTCCACTTCTGATTTTAGAATAGAAGGGTCAGTATCATCATTGCTCAGTATATACCCACTAGGACGGTCATCATTAAACAGTTGTTCCACATAAGTTTCCCACATTCTAACTATTTTGTCGGGATCTAGTTGTAGTTTTTCATTATCATCGCACAGTCCTTTCGATAAAATATTGTAGCTTTTCTTTGTTGTGAGTTCCTTTATTATCTTATGCACATTGTGATAGTCGTATACCTTTCCGCACTGTTCGATTTCTTCGCATCTCTCCGATAACCATTTCTCTTTAGTTTTTCTTATCTCAGCTCTTATTCGTCTATGGGTTTCACGGTATTTGGCAGTATCTTTAGTTTTATAGATCCGTGTCTCTTACATCATGTCAAGGGTTTCTGCAGTCATACAGTCTTCCTTTTTTCTCTGATCAGGTAGTAAAAACTTTCACTCCACTTTTCCAGCGGTTCATTGTTATTTTTAAGGATTTTTGATATTTCGGTATTTAAACTCTCCTACATCTGTTGTTTAATATTATTTTTGGAAAGCTTCCTAATATCTAACGTTTCGGGCCTGTTCTTTAATTAGATATTTAACTAAATAAGTTAATTTTTTTTATTTAAATAGCTTTTTTGATATGTAAGGTATTTTGAATTTGTTTGGATTCTGCAAAATTTGCAATGCCAGGTACCTATTGGACACATAACATGTATTTAAAAGTAATTTTTTTTGACAAATTTTATTTAAATTAAATCTCCTTTCACATGTACAATTATTACATCAGGAGAAGAACCGGAGTGACTGACATCATCGAGAAGATAGCTAGACTAAAATGGAGATGGGCAGGACACATAGCCAGAATGACAGATGGGCGATGGACAAAGAGGTTATTAGAATGGAGGCCAAGGGAAGACAAGAGAAGCGTTGGTCGACCACCTACAATATGGAATGACGATTTGAGAAGACTCAATAAAAACTGGATAAGAGCGGCGCAAGATAGACGGGGTTGGAAACACGAGGAAGAGGCCTATGTTTAGCAGTGGACTCTTGAGGCTAGATGATCATCTCCTTCTTCTAGTTCCATGACCGTTATCGATCGTTGGATATCATGTTGGCTACCATATTCGCTATCGTGACTTTATTGACAGCAGCTCTAAATAACGATGTAGTTGATTTTCCATACCATTGCCTTATATTCTTCGTTCTTCTGTTCTTCGTCTACCAGGACCACGATTACCTTGGATCTTTCCCTTAATGATCAGATGTAAAAGATGATGATGAAAGATGATGAAGGATGCTAAATCAAGGATTACTACAAGGTCTATAAAATTCGTCCAATGCTAGACTATTTAAAGCAGATTTTCCAAGAGTCTTATACATCAGCCTGATTTTTATCTGTAGACGAAAGTGTGGAAGCAATTTCCTTAAGATCATCACACTATGTCCATAAAATCCATTTAAAGAGGCTTTAGGATATGACCAGTAGCCTGTGCAGAAACTGCACATTCGAGTAATTTCGAAATATACCAAGGACGAGGTATCGCTGGTCTTTATCACACTCTTGGTGAACGAGTTGTTCGGAGCCTAGCTTAAACATTTCGAAATAACGGCCATCGGTTGTCTTTCGATAATTTTTTTATTACAATATCATTTAAGAAAAAGTTTTTAGATAGGAGTTTATTCTGCTGTCCAAATAAATCTCCAAAGTAAAGTCTAAAATTGGACAAAAAATAGCGATAAATCAATCAGACTTAGAGATAGAGGCGTAAAATGTGTGTGCATGTATAATAGTACATAAATAGGAAATGTTCTTAGAACCAACAAAACTTGTGCAAGCGATATTGTCCCTTGTCCACGGTCTATATAGTGGACTACAATAAATTTATTCAAGGTGCATTCAAAATGCAAACTTTATCAAGAATCGATGAAAAAAAGGTCACGTAAGACACATCTTCAATTGCAATAAAAAAGGGATGTATAGTCATAAGAAAATCTATGAGAGTTTATTCTTTGAGATGTGGGTACACAGTCGAATACTGAAAATAAGCTGGGTCGACAGAGTTAGAAATGAGGAGGTCCTTAGACGGCTGAACCAAACAACAAAACTGGTCAATATAACAAAGAAATGCAAGCTGGAATACTTCGGTCACATTATGAGACACCCTGAAAAATATGATATGTTACATCTGATCATTCAGGGAAAGATCCAAGGTAATCGTGGTCCTGGTAGAAGAAGAACATCATGGCTGAAAAATCTAAGGCAATGGTATGGAAAATCAACTACATCGTTATTAAGAGCTGCTGTCAATAAAGTCACGATAGCAAATATGGTAGTCAACAGTAGGATCCAAGGATCGATAACGGTCATGGAACTAGAAGAAGAAGAATATTTATTCGTTAAATAATAGTTAATTTATTAATTCGGTTTAAAGGAAAATGTTCTGGTGTTTGTTTTCAGTAAAAATTTTTCGGCCATGAAATATCTTCTAAAAGAATTTGTAGGCTCAAGTGCTTCAACATAAAGGGGCTCAATAGGAATTGTCTTCATGGCACCAATACAGATCTGCAGACACTGGTTTATAAATATGTCTAATTTGTTGAGTAATTTCTTGCTGGCAGATCCATATAACCAACGTCCAAAATCTACGATAGAGCGAATGTACGTTTTATAAAAAAGTAAGGAAGTCTGAACATCTGTTCCCCACCAAGTTTTAGTTGTCATTTTCAAAATGTTTAGTCCTTTTTCGAATCTATTTATATATTTTATATGGAATTTCCATGTGAGCTTGTGATCCAGTATAATGTCCAAATTTTTAGTTACGTTTTTAAAAGGAATTTCTCGCTGTTTTACTATAAACGTTTCTATATTGGGAAATTTAATTTGGATGATTTATTAAATTAGTTGTATGACTAATACAAAATTGGTTTTATTTGGGAATATGTTGTTTTGTAGAGGTAGAAAACGAAATATATAAAAATATTTTCGTAATATGTGAGAATAAAATTCATTATAATTCTGAAAAATTATAAAGATTTGGCAACAACATAAGAACCATTTAAGAATATATTTAGCACTTTGACCTAATCAAATCTTCAGGGTTTACTCAAAGGATTAAGGATAGGAAATAAATAAAACTGTTATGTAAATGTTATATTCAAAAATAAATAAAATATATACAACTTAAAGTAAAGAATAAATAAACTTACAGTAAAAATAAATTAAGATATTAGGCAATACTTAAAATAAAATAAATAAAAGTTCAACATGTCGTATCCATTATATTAAGTCCCTGTAGAACTGGAAATTTTCCATAGCTGCCACCAATTTAACAATTTCAGCAGCTTTTCAAACAAAATTTTATACAAGATTGATATATACATAAATAGGAACAATTTTTAGACTAACAACAAACAACTGCGTTTAAAATCTTCAATAGATTGAATTGCAAAGTACAACAATGTGTCATTTTCAAATAAATACATTTTGATGCTAAAAGTTCATTTAAGTTTTTTGTAAACTTTAGTCAGTTATACAACAATGTTTCAAACTTTATAAACGTTTCTACAATTTGTTTATTCGACACCTCTTGTGTTTGGGGACATTTGAGATAATCGGCAACGCCGCACAAGAGGCCGACTGAGTGATTTATATTGTTCGCTTAAAGCGAGGGGTCTGTTTCTGTTGTGAACATTGCTTTAAGAGTTAAATGTTACATAGCTGTGGTTTAATATAACAAAAAGAGTGGTACATTGGCTTAATCCAGTCCAGAGTACTTGCAATGAAAAATAAATGGATACAGAAGTCATAGAAATTCAATTTTTGTAGTATGAAAGGTGAAAGTATTTGTTAGTCAATGACTCAATTAAGATTCGATTAGGATAGTAGATCTTTAAAAAATTTGTGTATTTTTCTCTCGCGTGAAATTAACTCTATAAACTTTTTGCCTGTATTTTTCCATATGGCAAGTTACTTTTCATATTGAGAACAGAATAGTTGGGTTTGTAGATATGCTTGATAAAATTATGGCTTTAAGTAAGATACATAATTTACATGAATACTAATATATGAGATGTAAATGAAGACAAGACAGATAGAGGAGATAATAGTAAAATTATCTCCTACTAACTACCTGCATAAGTAAAATAACCATATTATAATTAGTTTACCAGAATCATCTACATAAGAGACCATCGAGTTGATAACACGTGATGTTCGGAAAGCTCAAAAATTAAGCACAAAGAACTGGAACCGAAAATGAAGTAGGTAAAGGAGTTGCTAAAGGATTAGCATTCTAAATATGCAAGTTTGTACGCATGTAAGTACATAGGAATATCTTTAGAATATTGCGAAGATGGAGTTAGCGAATTATGTGCTTTGGTCAATTCAAAGTGTTAAATAAAGTTGCCTTAAAACTGGAACATATCTTTGAATCTATATGCGAAAATTAACTTGACATGTTGGAAAAACTACAGTATGCCACCTCAGCTTATTAATATTGCCTTTTGCATATTGAAAGATAATAGACATTCATGTAATCCTTCATATCTAAAACAAAAATCTTAATCGAATCATTAGCTTCCGAAGAAACACATATTTTATAATATGAGAAAAATCGTTTTTTTTTCTTCTGGTGATTAGGAATACAGAGTTATTTGAAATATTTTATTTTCAAGTGAAGACGATTGCATTTTCTGTTTCACCAGAGTTGTCTTTTTTTATTTTCCAAGTTCCAACAAAGAACTATTTTCATTATTTGTTTAACAAAAATGATTATATTGTTAATACTGATTATTGCAGGAACGTTTATAACACTCGTACTTTGAGATTCCAAAAAAATTCTTGTGGTTTCTTTAAACACGAATTAAATTTAGTTCGAGCCAATTTTCCACTAGCATTGACTTAATTTTTCTGGTTCTCAACGTTAAAGCCGTTGGTTTTGATGTAGTCAATAGTCCACTCCATGATGCTTAGATAAGAGTTGAAGATAATGAAGTCTCTTCTACTTCTCTGCGACTCGTCCTTCATGTTTTTATATTCATTGGGCATGTCGCTTTCGCTCACAGGATAGGGTTCTAATTTTCGTTCCTTCAAAGCTTCCTTCATCTCGCATAATAATAATTTCAGTTGCCATTTTTCGTTTTGAAATACTTGGGCGCGTACACCACCCTCGTCGATTAGATGCTGGAAAGCCACAGCCAGTATCTGATAGCTGCGGTACAATTCCTTCATAATTTCTTCACTCTGAAAAAAAAAAATTCACATTAATGCGAGCACTACACAAGAATAATACGCCACTAACTACAGATAAAGCTTCGTTATGTGTTTAAAATAAGCTTATGCTAATAAAATATAATATTTGTTAGTTGCTTCTGTACCTTAAATTTTCTGCACTGCATTTACTTAAAATACAATGCAGAAAGTTTTTATTGTAATATCTGAAAAAATTTCTTAAGTTCCTCCTATTTTATTATCTTTACTTGTCATTTCTGGCCATTTCTATATGATATACTATTAGTTCCAGTACTCTTTCCGTCTCTGCACTTCTTACACCATGTTAGAAACTATTCGTTTCTGGTAATTGGTCGTGAGTTCTTGAAAAATTCGAAGACATTTAAACATAAGTGATTCAAAGCTTTTAATTGACTTAATACTTGTTTTGTGGTGTTTAAAATTTTACATTCACAATCCATTCCAGCTACCATCTCTCTAGCTATCTTCAGCTCTTGTCTGCTAAGATTTATTAGCCTAGATAAAATGTTTTAATGTGGCTCATGATCTTTTCTTGATGGATATTTTTTAATAGATTTGCCTCTGAAGAGCTCTGTTTGTTGTTATGTCTCTTTTTCAATAATTTTTTATTTCTACCAGCACATTTTTGATCTTTTGATGATTTTATTCAATTTGGTTATACCGTATGGCCATACCATATAAATTATTTTTTGTTTAATAGTGCCAATTTTATCAACAGATATTTTTTTCATATTTAGAGCTTATCGAGCAATATCCAAGATAAATCTTGATAGTTTTAAAAATGTCTTGTACAATAAGAATGGATTAAGAATAAATTAAACGTGTAATGCAAAAAATAGATGATAACAGAACTATTGCTATAAAAAAGCTTATAAATATAATAAAGCATGCTTTATGAACATCTTTTTATTCTTCCTCTTCTTTCTCTTTATAAGCAATTCTGCTTCTTTTTTGGCGGATTAATACCTTTATGGCACGTTGTCACTCCATCTTTTGCGGGGTCATCCGATACTTCTTGTGCCGATTGGTGACTTATCTCTGGTCTTTCACTGGCTTTATAAATTCTTACCTTCATCTCAGTGTTCATATGTCTGTAGCACCATATAGTGTTATTCAGGCATCCTTTTGGTACTTGATCTCTCACTTCTTTGTCCGGTCTCCATAGTTAGACAATGTAATTCCCAGGTATTTTATTTCCATTACTTGTTCAATAATGATGCCATCAATTTCTATTTTACATCTGGTTGGGTCTTTGATGACTACTATTGTCTTAATTTTCTGAGATGAGGTTGTCATATTAAATTATTTTGCTCTTATGTTAAATCTGTGGACCAGTCTTTGCAGACTATCTTAATATTGAGCTATCAATATTGAGTCATCTGCGTAACAGAGTATTTTTATTTCTTTGTGTTTCCAATCTATATACTCTTTTTTTTTGTTCAGGCTTTTGATGATTTAATGCATGATCAAATTGAAGAGCATGGGACTCAATAAATCCCCTTGTCTTATTCTGCTGTCTATTTATATAGTCTTTACTCTCTTACTCTTGCATTCATCGTACAGCTTACCCAAATTGTCATAAAACCTTGAGACTTGATCCTTATTAAAACCTTGAATGCGACTTAAGACTTGTTGCTTCAGGTTTACGGAAACTTAACATCGGATGCTTGACATGAATCCATATAACCAGTCTTTTACGCTTCTTGTTTTTTCTCTGTTGAAACTATGTTTTTAAGTTTAATTTCTCTTGCATAGGCGAAGGCCTCTTTTCGCAACTGAATTGGGGTTAATCCATAAAATATTTTAGATAACGTTAGTAAATGAAGACTCATTTCTTCTTCCTGTTCATTTGAAAAGAGAGTGTTTGCACCATCGAGCAAAAAGACAAAAGAGGGAATCTAATCGTTATGAAAAGGAGACCCAAAAAGTGGCCTCTGATGGCGGACATACCCAAACGCTTTCTTTAGGTCAATCAAACACATAAATGATGGTCTATTATACTCTAGTGATTTCTTAGTAATTTGCTTTGTAAGGAATATTGCATCTGTACATGATCTTCCACTACTATGAAAATCCTGTTGTTCATCTGCTAAACTCATCCTATGATTTATTAGCATTTACAGCTTCATCTAAAATTTGAGTTATTGTGTTTTATAATGTTGTTAACTGTTCTGTCACTGCTGCCTTTACTATATTTTAGTAAGTCGTTTGGTATCCCGTATTTACCTGCTGCTTTTCTTTTCTTCAGGTTTTCAAGTATTTTCGGAAGTTCCTGTACAATTATATTATGTTCTTCATTAGTGGTAATTTCTGGTGTTTCTGGTTATAGTATCGTTTGTTCTTCCTCTGCATAGAGCTTTTATAGGGTATGTGTCTTCGTTCTATTAGTTCCTTTACCTCTTGTGGACTTAGTTCTCTTGTGGAACTTAGGATGGAACGAAAATTTACTAAGAAAACTATTACTGGCATCTAAGACCTAAAAAGCTATCTAACAGACTCATTAATACTCAGCTCAGCGATTGTTAAAGGTGTGAAATTACACCTCGGAACAATAGCATACAATTGAGCTGACTCTCTTAGATAGCTTGTTAAACTATGCTACTATTATTGTTAGTACTACTATCTACATGGTTATAGTACTATAAGCATACTACAGTTTTAAATATAAATATTATAATTACCTCTTGGTCTCCTTTTAAATATTTTGTACGAGCACGATTTTCTAACCATGGGTAAGACCATTGGGGATTATCACGATAATCAAACGCGTTGCCTATAGTGTAGAAAGCCTGAAAGAAAAAAACGTTATAGATTTTTATTTACTACAATGTTTTGTGTACATTTTAACATGCATTTTACAAATAAACAAACGAAAATTTATTTTAAAAAAGAATTCAAATAAAGACTTCCATTATTCTATATTTTAGATAGTAATTATGTAGCAATATACAAGTTGTCTTTTAGAGAATACAGTGTCATAAGTATTTGTTGATTAATTTGCGAGAAGTATGTTTTTTCGTGCGTTATGTGTGTCACCGATCTAAAACTCCCTGCATTTTGCTTGAAATTGACTTAGCTTTACAATTATTTCATATTTATTGATTATGGAAATAGATAGTACTAGTATTCCTCGAAAACGTAGAAGTCCACGTCGTTTCTACTAAGGTACATGTAGAAACAACATGATAGATTTGTTCAATCTTTCAAAAAAAGGTGATTAAAAACTTGGACCAATTGATTAAAATTTAAAAAGAAAGGGTACCTTCAACAACTACGTAAATTAAATGATACTTACTACAAAGTACTCTCTATTATCTACTACTCAACAAAAATTACTCACATTGTGTGCAATTTAACAATGATATAATTTATGACGGTATATACTAAAAGTTTTGATATTTAAAAAATATGTTGATATTGATTGTCTCCTAATAATATTATTTGTTTTCTTCTTTTTTTCCTTCTTTCTCCTATGTATGTTACTTCTGATCTTCTTTGTCTTCTTTTTCCAATATTTCCAACCGTTTATATTGTTTTAAACCTCCAACAGCGATTGAGCCTTACAGTTCTCCTTTTTTCCACGATTCTATGCTTTGTTCTTTATTTTCACTAATTTTATTTCTTCCAATTCCACTTCGTAAATTTTTTTAGCTCAGTCCTAAAACTTGTTTTGTTAAACGTTGAAACTTCATTCTTTTTATGTATTTTAACCAAATTGGTTTTTTTTTTAATTATTAAACTTTAATTTTAAATGACAATTAGATTTTTTAATATTCAAAGCCAACCTTTGAGTAAGAAAAACATACAAGTTGTAAAATTTTGTTTTAAAAATGCCATTGTGGCTGTGAAAAATACTTTCAATAATGATTGACTGTTAGGAGAGGAAGTCTAGAATGGGCTTAGCGAATTACAGTGACTTCCTTTCGAATAAATCGAATAAATCGATAGCTTACTTAACTAATCAACAGGACCGTGCAGACGATACTGAGTCAATGACAAAAGTGTTGTTGGATAGATTAATTATAAATTTATAGAATCTATGTTGAATGGAAGGTAATGTATCTATAAAATAAAATTTAAAACTTAATTTAAAGAACAAGAAAGCTTAAATACATTGCCACAAAATAAAAGTACCATCGCATTCGTATGAAAGCAACAAAAAACTAGAAATATCTAGAATATTTGAAAATGTCACTTTAACTTTTGATGGAAAAAATAAAAATCTTTTAGATGTGACTTTTGACTTTTAAAATAGCATAAATGGGTATCAAATTAACAATCAAGAGGTACAAAATGTCGACCGTGTAAGGAGAGGACCACAACACTAGCTACAATAAGCTATTAGACACTGAAAAATCATGTGAAAACGTATCGTTCAAAGTAGATTAATCCTGCAGCCACAAAATAATTGAACTGATTTATTTGGGAAGACCTCCGCGGAACTGTTTTGCAGAGCAGTTAACAAAACCATGATAGCTTTGATGATCGCCAACATCCGAGCCGGATAAGGCAGTGAAGAAGAAGTAAATAGTATTAAAATAATCATAATGATCGCCCAATCTTGAAGAGACGACAACCCTTAATTAAAAGACGAATTTTTAACAACTCTATGACCCATTATTGGGTTTGCTACATTGGGGAATTCTACATTAAAATATGGAAGTTTCATTCTATTTTACAGAAGTCACAAAATATTTCTTTGTCGGAAAATAATTCCTTTACTTCAGAAGCTTTTATTTTTGTAAATACTTTCCTGTCAACTTTAATATCTTATTGTTATTAAAGTTAGAAGTAAATTGCAAAGAACTTTAAAATGAGTTCATGAAAAGGGCATTTAGAGATAAATGGAATTAGAGTCAAGACTTACGACATAATACAAATAATACACATTACATTGTTTATCTATCCTTTATACTTTAATCCAATAGGATAGTTTTAATACTATGTTCTATTAAAGTTTACACTAATGAGAGAACAAGAAAAGCTGTTTTCAGAATTTTCGACGTTTAAAACCAATTATGGGTAGCCACACTATCAACTAAACTTTTCACAAATGTTGCAAGTTGATAAACTTTTCAGACGACTTACCAATTTAACCAATACTACCAATAGTAAGTAGGGAGAATGCTAGAAACTATATTTTCCTCCTAGAAACTATATCAAAGGATTGTCTAATAAATCCATTAATTGTTTTTCGGCATTAGTTACAGTTTGAGCAGCATGAGTCTGCAGTGGATATCGTTTGCAGACCAAGACTCAGGTGAGTGCAGTTTTGAGTAGGGACATATTGTTCCTGGACAGTTAAATCTGTAATCATCGAGATTGTGCCGTTTGTTTTGTTTTTATTAACATTTACACTAGCTAGATTTTCTTAGTTAACTTAATTTGGGTGCCATTACATGAGGAGAGTCAGAAAAAAATGTTTCAAGTGGCGAACGTTTCGAACGACTCACTAATTTAGCTAATAGTAAGTAGGTAAGACATGAAAAATTAGTTCAAATTCTTCAAGAATAAAAAGTTATTAGACTTCCGAATAAAAACAAACCTCTACTGGAATTCAAAGAGCACAAATCGTAATAGATAACGAACCCAGTCCAGAAATTGAAATCAGGAGAAGAGTTAGGCAGGGATGGATTATGTCTCCATTACTATTTAATGTATATAGTATATCCATTTTTGAAGAAACATTACTATCTCAAAGTGACGGAATAATAATTAACAGAAGATCTATTAACAACATAAGATATACAGATAACACCATGATTATGGCAAGCTCTACTGAACAACTCTAATTATTACTAAACAAAACAAACAGTTTCTGTGAGAAATATGGATTAAAAATATAACGGGAAAGGGTTCCGAAATATGGGAAATATACCGATAGAAAGGGTTGATAAATACAAATAACTAGGAACCTAGATTTCAGACAATAATGATCAAACAACCGAAATAAGCGCCAGGATAGAAATAGCAAGAAATGCGTTTGTAAAACTGAAAACAATTCTCTGCAACAAAGACCTTTGATTAGAACTTAGAGTAAGAGCACTGAGATGCTCTGTGTTATCGATAATGGAATATGGACTTGAAAGCTGGACATTGAAGCAAAAACACATAGATAAGTTACAGTCCTTTGAAATGTGGTATTACAGGGAGATGCTTAGAATAGCATGGACACAGAAGGAAACTAACACGGAAGTACTGCGAGAAATGGGCAAAAAGTGCGAAATAATAAATGGGGACATAAAATAATAAATAATAATAAGGGGACAGCGATATGAACTGCTAAGACTGATAATAAGAGAAAGATAAGAGAAGGAAGGAGTAGAGGAAGAAGAAGGGTGTCATGGTTGAAGAATTTAGGGAACTGGTTTAAATGCAGTTCTATAGAACTCTTCAGAGCAGCAATAGATACAGTAAAGATAGTGATGATGATATCCAACCTCCGTTTGGAAGACGGCACTTAAAGAAGAAGAAGTAGGGAGAATGCTAAACTATTATTTTTTCCCTAATTCGTTTGTTGTTAATGTTATTTGCAGGTTTTTCCTAGTCTCATTAGAAATGTACTGAGTAAGTGTCAGTAACAATTTCTCTAGAACCGTCCAAGATCTAGAAGATTTTGGACGCTTTCAACGCCTTTATTACAGCTCTTAATTCCCATATGCAAGTTACTGACGATTTTTTATTCATCTATTTATACAACAATATTTTTATATAGTTACAGACGGTCCTGTACACCAATAGATATTTTATTAATGGTAGTAGAAACACATTTTACCGGATGTAAGGAAGACGTTAGTTATTTACATCCGATAGACAAAGACAACAATAAACTGACTTTAAGTTGAGAACAAGACAAAAAATATGATAGTGTGTAATCAGACATCATGACTCTGGCGGTATAGTAAGGTACGTTTGGGGAATATATAATACCGGAGGACGTTGGTAATTTCTCAAAAATTGTTAACGAACTTTTTTAATGTTTTTCTATAGTTTAAAATATATTAGAATTATAAAAAAAATTACAATATTTTTATTATTTATTTAGTAGAAAAAAATTGTAAGAAATGAGAAAAAAGTTACATTGTGGTCAAGAGAACAAATTTGCCATAACTAAAAGGTATTTGAGAAATGAAGAGAGTTAAATTTTTATACCTCCAAAACATACTTGAAAAATTATGACTGCGGCAAACTGGCCACAAAATCGCAATTTTTTAAAAAAATGTTTTCGCAGGAAAAATTAATTGAATATATGGCTTGGCTTTTATTTTTGCTAACAACGTTATGTAACTTGTTTTAAGCGATAAAAAGAACGGTAGTAGCAAAATAAAAGAAGACAAAACGAATAAGTATTAGAAGAATACAAAAAGTTACAAAAAAGAGGCTGAAAATAAATGAAATATATGCTAATAAATAACAGAATCAGCATGAGACACCAGATATTAAACTAACTATTTACAGGTTCATATAAGAAAAAAGCTTTATCAATCAGAGGGTGTAGACCTAAAGGGATCTTCACCTATATTTATATTATTCTAAGAAATATGGAGATTTTTAATAAAGCCTATTATCTATTAAGAAAAGATATTTGTTACCTGGTCATGTTCTAAGAACATCTGCTCTAGGTTCTTATGTGTAGATATCATTATCTTTGGTGGATAACTTTAATATCAATGGCTGAATACTTGTAACGAACTTCAGCTAATTTACTCTCTCAGCTTCTTTATGTGCTTCTTCTCCTCCAATTCTACCTTTCGTAATATCTCTATCTCTATTAGGTATTGGAATTATTTCTAATTCTTGTTTTAATTTTGCTATTATTAGGGTATGGTAACTGTTGATACCTGCCCCCGTATAACTCCTGCAATCGATTATTACGTTATCATGTTTGCTTCCAATTAGGACAGGATCTATCTGATTTTTTCACTTTTCCATCGTGAGAAGTCCATATTACGTTATGAATATCTTTATGATCAAAACTTGTGCTAGCTATCTTCCTTTTGTTCTCTAGCAAATTCTATTAACTTTTTTCCATTTTCATTTGATTTCATCTGTAAACTTCGTCCTCCTGTTATTTTCCCATTTTCCTGCAAGACACACTTCGAGCCAACATACCAATTACCCTCAAAAGAAGAGTATTTGATCAATGCGTATTACCGGTCATGACATACGGGGCGAAAACTATGACTCTAACCAATGCTACGGCTTTGAAATTAAGAAGACACAGAGACGAATGGATATTTCTGATGTTGTGGAACGCCACGTAGAGATCTACACCATCTACACGTTGGGCTAACGACATTAGCTGTATCACCAAACATTGGCAAGAAAGAGCACAAAATCACAAAGAATGTAGGGTTTTAAGGGAGACCTATGTCCAGCAGTGGACGTAATAAATGAAGGCTGGATGATGATAATTTTATACCTAAATTTGTGATCTACACTGACCAATGCGTATTAGCGGTCATGACATATGGGGCGGAAACTATGACTCTAACCAAGGCTACGGCTTTGAAATTAAGATTGACACAGAGACGAATGGATATTGCTGATGTTGTGGAATGCCACGTAGATATCTACACCATCTACACGTTGGTCTAACGACATGAACCGTATCACCGAAAATTGGCAAGAAAGAGCATAAAGTCACAAAGAATGTAGGGTTTTAAGGGAGACCTATGTCCAGCAGTGGACGTAATAAATGAAGGGTGGATGATGATAATTTTCTACCTAAATTTGTGATCTACACTTCTAGTTACCTTTACAGTTTTTATGATTTTTAAAATATAGTAAGTAGTAATATAGTTTTTTCAATATAGTTTTATTGGAATGTTCCAGCAATTTAGTATTGGTAACTCTTCGTCTACTTTTTCTTTCTCAGACAGTACTTTTCTAACGATTTAATATTATTTATGTATTCTTTTCCAGTGACTTCTTTTCTATTTCGTAGAGCAATGTAGATAAAACATAATATCTTAGAGCTCCTAATATAAGTTACATAGAAAGGTCTTTTTAGTGACCACTTTTTTTCATTTTTATAAATGTTTGTTAGAAAGATACGAACGTAGTTACGAGGTTCGAATCGTTTGTAGATGCCCCTTTGTCCGCTTCTTGTCGATCGACGATGATAAATATAATAAAAGGTTGAAGTTGTTGAGTAAAATTGTTGATTTTATGACAGCTACTGGTAATTACACAAAATGATGTTCGTTAGGTAACTACTTATGATAGACTGTACTCAAATCAGCTCAAATCCCCAATTTATAATCTCACAAATAATTCATACCTCAGCACAGAGGTTACTGCTTTCTATCATACCATACCAACAAACTTTGAACTATTTGCTTACATTACAATTTAATCTAGGCCTTAATTGCGACTCTTAGGAAGTTCAATTATAAAATATATTATTCGGCAATTTATTTAGTTGTAGGTAAATGAACTAATTATTAAGAAATTATACGATATGATTTTACAATTTCTTACTTATACACGGTGAAACTATAAAAGATTAAGAAGTTAGCAATAATGTGAGATTACAAATTAAGGGGTTAATTTGTGATTGAACATTGTCTTTCAGTTTCAAATAAAGCTTTATTTCTTTTAGTAAAAGATCGAATGTTAAAATCATGGACAAATTTATTTACCCATAAGTTACCAGTAATAGTTAAAGAGAAGAGAAATTAATAATGAAATAAACAAAGATAGCAGAAGTGTTGGATAGAAATTTAATGAAAATCTAACTGACAGAAAAAGAGAGCGAAACAAACAAAAGAAAGACTATATAAAACAGAATTAAAATTTTTGGAAATACAGCTGCTGTGAGCAATCTTTAGTTAGAAAAGATCGGTTAATGGGAAAATAAGAAAAAATGCTCAACCAAAGAAAAGCACTAATGATGTAATTGGTTGGGATACTTGGCACAAAGAACCCAGAAAGATATAGTTGTTCCCCTTGGGGATAAAAATGCTATAAATAAGGTCAAGAATGTGATGATTATTGTAACTCTAATTATAATAAAGTAAATAATGAACTACTATTAGCAAAAAGAGGCACAACTTGTTTAATGTTGATCAAAGCAAAAAATAGTGGACTGTAAATTGATCAATGCCTTTACGCAATGCATTTGCCTATCTTAAATAAAGATTTTTATTACATATTTATTTATTTTTATACAGTTATCAAAACTAAAGTGAAAAACTGCATACAACTTTAAAGAAGGTAATAATATTGCGTGTTAAATAAGCGTAGTCTTAAACAAATCATATATTTTTTTGTTTTAAAAACATGTCCATTTAAAGTAAATATACGAAAATCGCAAACTATAAAAAAATTAGTACGCCTTGTCGTGATAATCTTTGTTTTTGTTTTAATCTTGACCTACTTCATTTTTCCCAGAAAAATATCCAGCCTTGGTAGACGCAAAGAAAATCAAACGCCAGTATTAGGTAATATATTATAATTATATTAGCTTTATATTGAAGAATTAAATAAAGTACTGTAAATTGATTAAATGGTGAGGTGTAATATGTATCGAAAGCATGATATTTTACCATTTTCTCTGTACAATTGGTCCTTTAAATCTATTGGTCTCAACGTCACATTTTAGAACACTTTGGTTCTCATCAGTTTGACGAAAGTTGAACTCCAAGATAAAAAGATTGAGCATCTTCCTCCACTTGACAATCACATAGTAGATAAAAGCTGTCAAGCTTGTTTCCTATAAATAATCTAATTTGACAAAAATTGCGCTTTTTTTAAGCAAATAAATAACTCGTTTTGCATTAAAATGTTATGATTTACCTATCCGTAATATTAGAATTTAAGTTTTTATTTGGTTATCTAAATTTGAGCATATATTTTGTTTATGCTAGATGCAAACAGTATTTTGCAATTTACAAAACTTTCTTAAAAGCTTTAAAGTATAATTTCCGTAGGTACTTTATACCATTTTTTTATTTGCTACTTACGCAACCGTCACGCTAAGCAAACTAATTTTAATCCCTAAAAGAAAACAAAAATAAAGTACTTACAAAGCTGTCCTTCAAATGGTTAGCTTGTATTAAATTGTACTCTGCTTGAACAAGAAGGTCTGATAAGTGCCACTTAAAGAAAATTTCTGGTGGTGATGTGGGAAAAGGATCACTTGGTTCCGTAGAACCACATGGTTTTTCCCACCATTTGTCTTCTGCGACCTCATCGTGGGCGGGTGCTGTAGATGCTGGATTCATCATCGTCAATGTAAGGTAGACTAACACTAATACAACGTTTTTGACACCTAAAATAAAAAAGAATAGTTAAATTAAAAAGTATAATTAGATTTGCATTGTTCGTAAAGTAGAGTATGGAGAGAAAATATCAGAAAATATCTTCATTATTTTTACATTTTTGAAAATATCTATTATATGATATTTATATAGGTAAATTGTTATAAAAATGGAATATGAAATAAGAAAAGAAGTGGAACAGAAGAAATAAACATTCCTAAGCACTTATAGAGAGAATAGCAAACCAAAAAGAGAAACCATTACAAAGATAGGACAATAATGTAACGTAAGTGTTAAAAAGATCAGAAAAATAAACTTGGAATAATCAAGTTTAATATAAAATGGAGAGAAATAATAAAGAAACGTAGATAATACGAGTCCCATCTCATATAAGTTGGCCCACCTATGGAATTTGCAGTTTAAGTCGATTACAATAAACAATTTATATGCTGCAAGTTTCTATAGGTTCCCATATTAATTAATATGGCATTTTTATTAATATGTATTAAAAACATTACCCTTATGGGTTTGTATTTATTTTTAACAATAAAAAAAATTCACTAAACTCTGACTATGTCAATTATGTCAACAAACATTGATTTTTCCATAGTTATGTTAAATCCAGAGGTAGCTATAGAAAAATAACATCAAAACAATAATATTGTTAGTTAATGTCAAATGTATTTTGTAGTATTGTAAAGCTTTTTGCTGCATGTGGGTTGTACAATGGGTCGAGGCATGATACAATAACTAACAAGATAGGATCTTCCCGTAGCACAAAATCGGTCGTGTTCGCGCATGCCGTCATTGGAGAGTAGAATTTGAATGCTTGTTAAAGTTAAATGGGATTTGTATGCATTCTGTGATGAAATTACTAGATGAAATTCAGTTAAGAGGTTTAATAATTACAATAATCGTACACATAAGGATATCTCCAAACTATTTATTAAAGATTATTTATTGATACATACAAAAAACTGACATTTCGAACGTGTAACTCTCCAATGACGTCACGACTTATGCGCAATATCATATCTTCTTCTCATAGTATCATGGGTCGAGGTTCAGTTATCGATGAGAAAGTTTGTTCAATCATTATTTCATTTTTTAATTCTGGAAAATCCAATTCGGAAATCGCGAATATGTCACAATTGTCACGCTATAGTGTAAGAAATATAGTCATAAGATACAAAACTACAGATTCGGTCGTCACAAAACCTAGAAATATATGAAAAAGTAAAATACCCGAAGCAGATCAACCGGGAATTAAGACGCATATGGAGTGACGTTATTGCGAGACACGTTTCTAGATCAACATGGTCCACAAAATATGATTTGGTACTTACAAAGTAAGTTTTATAGTTGAAAAAATTAGTACGAATTGTTTTTAATAAATTTCATTTATCGCAAGATACTTAAATGGGGAAGAAATTCACAATTCACAATTCACAAAAAAGGTCCAAAAGATATTTGCGGAAACTGTAGATGTATCTGTCACCAGTACCTTTAGCTGTTTGGTAAAATCTTAAAAAAACATGATTGAGGAAGAATACGAACCTCATGAAATTGGACAGCAAGCAGGATTTAGAGCTGTAAGATCTTGCGTAGACTACATATTTACCCTAACACAACTGAATGAAAAGAAAGTTGCAAGAAACCAGGAAATACATCTTTTATTTGTGGATCTCACAAAAGCATATGACACAATTCCTGTGAGAAAGCTGTGGCAGTCTCTTGAACGATCTCCATTAAATAGCACGATCATCGCCGCAGTCAAACAATTATACAATAAAGCATCATCAAAAATCAAACTAAACAACACCTTATCAGAAAAATTTCCAGTAACAAAAGGCCTACGAAAAGTATGCTGCCTCTCTCCAATACTATTTAAGATCTATTTAAATGAAGCACTAAAACACTTGAGAAGATCCTGTTCAGGAATGGGGATCCAACTTGACGACGATACAACATTATACACTCTACATTTGGTGGACTACCAAGTATTAGTGGCAGCAGACAATGAAGATTTAGAATTCATGACGAGAAGGTTGTGTAAAACATATGAAGAATGGGGCCTCTCTGTAAATAGAAACAAAACGCAATACTTCTGCATCGGGAATGAACTAGAAGATCTAATGGTCAACGAACATGAAACAATCAAGAACTGTGAAGAATATATATATATATATATTTGGGAACAACAATAAACAAGAGTGGGCGCACCGAAAAAGAGATAGAGCAAAGAATCGTGAAAGGAAAAAGGGTGATAGGATGCCTAAACCCGATGCTATGGTCAAAAGAACTATCAAATCAAAGAAAGCATCTCCTTTTTAACTCCATCTTTAAAAGTATAGTGCTCTATGGATGCGAAACATGGCAACTTACTAAATACCTTGAGCGAGGCCTACTTGCATTGGAAATGGACCTCTGCTGAAGATCAGCTAGAAAATCAAGGCTTGATAGAATACAAAATGACCATATTAGAAATATAATGGGAGTCAAGTCAACCATCATTGACGAAATTCAAAGGAGACAACTGATCTGGTATGGTCATGTGAAAAGAATGGACGACGACAGGCTGCCAAACCAAATTTTAAAATGGACACCAAGGGAAAGAAGGAAGAGAGGAAGGCCAAAACAATCCTGGCTGGGCGGCATTCAGAAGGCAATGTCGGAAAGAAACTTTCACCCTGGCGAATGGAATGACCGACGTAGCTGGAAACTGGGAACCGGAAGACGAAGAACGCTATAAAAAACCGGGATAATAAAAAAAATCTTAGGTTAAGGAAAAGTAACTTTTACCATAACAACAAAAGAAAGATGGTCAAAAGAGCATTAAGATTGGAGTCAGTCACAATGAGATTCATAAACATGGAGTGATGAGTTCAGATGTGAAATGTGTGTTGGAGACAGTAGAAGTCGCGTCATTCGCAGGAAAAATAAAGATTTCCATCCCGACTGTCTAAAGAGAAGAGTCAAATTTGGTGCATCTGTCATTATTTGGGGCAGCATGTCGGCTTAAGATGTGGGAAAGTTACATTTTATCGATGAGATTGTAAACACGGACAAATATTTGAATATTTTAGAATAATCTGTTTAATCAACAGTTTTCATTATGTTATAACATAATTTCTATGATAAGGAAATTCAAAAAAAAAATTTCGATGAATTTGAAACTTTATTTTAGATCTTTAAAATTTAATTTTTTTATCAATCTAACGTTGGTCCAACGGATATTGGAAGGGGCTTGTAAATATATAAAAAAAAATAAAGGATACCAATTCAGAAAAAAAGTTTAGACGATTTATTTAATCTACTTGTATACAATCGTTTTCTTGCGTTTTTCAAAGTGTTGGTGACCTGTTTACTTTTAAAATTTCTCACGATCCTTCACGAATCTCTCCACAAATCCTTGTATTTACATAGTTGGTGTTTTTGTACAAGCTGTGAGTAGTTTTGCCGACGAAAGTATTTTAATGTGACACAGTGTCTTTTATACATTTTATGGCTGTCATAAAACGCATCGCAGTAAACCCAACTCTTGCTTTTAATAACTAATACTTCATATTTTATGTACAGTTTGTTTTAAATTTTGTGCTCTAAATAGAGAAGTTTTAAAGACTTTTTCGGTTTAACTTAATGGGCTTGCGATATATTCGTAATTGAGCCAATTTTTTATATTGAAAATTAAATGAAAAAGATGAAAATTACCAATCCACAGATTTTAGCGACTGATATATTGGGAGAAAATATATGCATATTTTACCTATAAACTATTCGTATTCTACCTATATACCAAGGGTCACTAAATGGCGGACCGAGGTCCACATCCTGACCGTGAGCTTGTTTTTTGCGGACCGCCGTTAAATTCAAAATATAGTAATAAAATTAGAGTAAAAAATTAATCAAATCTTCATATATAATTATCTTTACATTTTTAAAATGCAACGTACTAATACTATATAAAAATATTCGTAATCTAAAGAATATGCTTCGACTAAACGGGTTTCCAAAATTTAAGGTAGTCTTTTTCTTAGTTGTTAGCCTGATGCAGGTATCGTGATATTATGAAGCTATTAGCTAAATTTCCCAATGTTCCTCCACGTTTTTCTATCTTCTGCCATTCCAGCACATTCTGACAATGGAGCGCCAATGGTAGCAACAATATGGTCCGTGTATCGTGTGGAAGATCTACCTCTATTTCTTTTGCCATCTACTTTTCCCTGGATGGTAAGTTTTTCAAGACCATTTCTTCGAAGCACATGTTCAAAATAGCTTATTATTTGTTCTGATATTTGTGTTCTTAGTTTTTTCTTTATGTTTAGCTGGTCCAGTATGGATTCATTTGTTCTTCGGGCCACCCATGGTATTCTCAGCATTCGTCTCCAGCAGTACATCTCAAATACATCTATGTTCTTTTTGTCTTTCTCAGTAAGGGTCCAGCATTCCGATGCATAAGTAAAAACTGGAAAAACTAGACTTCTTACTAGTCTCATTTTTGTATCGGTAGTTATTTCATGGATTTTCCAAATTTTTGTTAATTTTGCCATAGCGCTTTTTGCGATTGCTGACCACCGCTTTATTTCTTCAGTACAGCCTCCTATATTGTTTATCATGACCAGATGATTTTGATTGTTGTTAGCTCTGTCAATTATCATGATTCTCGTTTTATCTCTGTTTATTTTAAGGCTCATCGTTAAGCTTACGTCTTCTATCTGTTGTAGCAGGTGAATCAATTCAGCTTCAGAACTAGCAAGGATAATAGTATCATCTGCATATCTCAAGTTGCAAATCTTCTTCCCACCAATGGTGATGCCACCGTTCCAGTCCTCAGTAGCTTTCCGCATAATCCATTCACCATAGATGTTAAATAGAATTGGACTTAGTATGCAGTCTTGTCTCACGACCTTTGTGACCCTGAAACTATCGGTTAGTTCCCCATTTATTCTAACTCTGGCGTAATTGTTATTGTACAGACTTTTAATTAGCAGTATCAGATGATTGGAGACTC